CCTTGTTGAGTTCCTGAGAGATTCCTCTGAATTTGTGCAAGTATTTATTGTGGTGAGATTTGCTTTAACACACACCTCTCCCACCCCCATTTTTTTGTTGGTAATGATGGCTGTTGTAAGCCTGAAATTTTCTGGATTGTCATCAGTGGAGATTGTGTGTTGTCATCTGGGATGTACAATTGTTTATTTTAGAACTGTAGATGAAATGAAAGCATGGGATTAGAAGTGCAGGAAAATGTCTTGGTGGAAAACCATTCCTTGTTGTGTGGATTCTGAGTTGAGGAAAATTTGGTGGAGTTAAAAGGAGAGATGTCAGTCAATTAGAGTTTCCAACTGGATTGGAGCCAGTAGTTGGAAAAGCAAAAGACTATTCCTTATTTTAATACTGATTTCAGAATTAATGCTGCTGGGAGTGTTGCTGTTTAAACTTTGTTTTCACTGAACTGTGGATTTGCAGTACATACTGAGACTATAGGTTACTGGATCACTCACTGATTGTTCTGTACATTAGGCACATGCATAACCCATAGCTTACAGAACCTACTGACTTTTTATATTTTCCCAAGAACAATACATGCTATGTTGCTGACATATTTCTGCTACTTAATGAGAAAAAATTTTTATTAAATACCTCCTTATGGAGCAAAAGCATTTGTCTCTATCTTCTCCACTAAAATGGACAAAAAAGGTGTCCACAGAAGGCGTAATTTACAATTCAGGATTCTTGGGATGACATTCTTGTCTTTGTACAAAGAAGGGAATTCACTTTCAGGCAGCTTTCTCTGCCCTTTGTCTTGCTATTACTGTCCTAGTTGGTATCTACTAAGTGATCAAAACTGAAACCGAATTAGCTTCACACACATCCTGTGGAAACAGAATGACATAACCAGCTCTGTTTCTGATTTTTAGTTGTGTAGTATATTAAATCTAGTAAATCATAAGTAGTTCAACTTATGTTAGGGCAAAGATTGGTGATAACCTCTTGCACTTCTTAATTTTTATTCCTGTCTAGTTTTAACATTTATTTTGAAAACTGTAGGTTTTGGTTTTTTTTTTAATATGAGTGTGTGTTTTGTATTAAAACTTCACTTTGTCAATGGGCATAAAGCTGTCAGGAGTAGGAGCACATAAATGTTTGGGTTTTGATGGCCTTTTAAACTGATTCGGCCTATTTTTGTAAATGTAGGAGGAAAAACACACTTACTGCATCCTTGCTCTGGCACATTACTAAAAGATACATAAGATGCAAAATGTGGATTTCTAAAACAAAAGCATGGAGCTCTCTCTTGGATGCAGAGGAAATGTTAATTCTTCGCATTAACAAGAGAATTAGCTCTTTCACATTATACTGAAGAATTTCACCTAGTAATCACTATATCAGTGATTTGAGGGGAGAAATCATAAGTCAAGCACTGCTTAATTGAGCAGAAGGGCAATTTAAATTAAATTGCTCACTTCTACAGGAATTTAGATAAAACTGAGTGAGGATAGCAAACACCTGTAAAATCATCATGTGCATTTTGAAAGCAGTGCCTAAGTTTGCAAGTAAATACATCTTGAAAACTTGCAGAGGGTTGAGGGGGGGGAGATTATTGAAGCTTTTACTTTTTTTAAACATAATTTAACTATATTTTCAAGAAGTACTTTGACACTTTCTGAGTTGATCTTTGTCTCTTGCAGTAAGGAAACACATCTGGATTTCAGTCTTTGTTTTGAGATAGGGCCTAGGGAGGAAAACAGGAATGTGAACTTTTTTGAGCAACGCGAGGCACTACACTAGTGAGTTTCCCTCTTCCATGTAGAAATTAGTCAAGGTCCTAACGTTCATAAACTTAAAGGAATAAAAAAATATGCAGATTGTTTATGGAATTAACTTACTGTCTTGGGAAGAAGATCAAATTATATGCCTCAGGGATTTGTGTGTTAAAAGGAGAAGACAGGTTGTGGAGAACTTGGGAGGATTTACTGCCTCGCATTCACAGTATTACATTTCAGCTTTCAGTAAGACCAGTAGAAGACTTATCTCTACGTTTAACTGCAAAGCTACCAGAAAAAGATTAATTCATAAGCGATGCCCAATTATGCTGTGATGCATTTCAAGGGTAATTAGGACTGTAGAATGTACTGCTCCTGCCTGACACAGGAAAGAACCTTGGTATCTCCTGTGGAAAAGGACCTTTTTAAAACCAGTATTGATCATGCATGTAATGTTTTTTGGTGATGCTCAGCCATGATGCCTTTGTGGGCTGCTGTTACGCTCTCCAGACTTTGGGCTCCCCAAGTGTGTCTTGGAGAATAAGGCCTTTCCAGACTACTTGGATTTCATAAACTTTGCCAATTTACTGGCTTCAGCCTTGCTTATAAGGCTTTGCTTGTTTTGGTTTTTTAAAATAAAACTGTTTTTTTTAAAATCTGACATTAATAATACTGTTGCTGTAGGGTACTGTCGTGACCAACTTCTGGACATGAATTCATTCTAGGGTACTGTCTTGGCCAACTTCTGGTGACCAACTTCTGGACATGAATTCATTCTTGTCTCTTTCCTTGTGGTCCCATGCTAGCACTTGTGTAGCATGCAATGAACTGCAAGAAGGAACTAATACATAAAAAAATCAGTTTGGAGGAGGATGGGGTATTATAGAGCAAATGGCTATGGGCAGATGAAATTACGACGTGTATCTCTTTGGTACAGCATAGATTTTTGTTGGATTGAAGTGCTATGTGCCTATAGCTTACAACTGGAAGCTGTGATACTGCTGCAAGCAGCTGTCAACTGCATAAATGCCCCTCTGGCATCCTTAGAGGAAACTGGTGTTTGGGGATCATTAGGGGGACATTCATCCAATGGTGCAACAAGAACAGCTTCAAGGAAAGGCACTGCAAAGTCGGTAATATTTCAGAATTTCTATTAGCTGCTCTGGCCACAGAAGTAAGCATTGACACTCAAACAGCTCCAGTCGGTTCTCTCATAGTACATGTGTAGACCACAGTTTAGCATCTTCCTAAAAGACACAGTTCAGGTCCTTGCAGTTCATGTCTCTTCTTGCTGGAAATAATGTATTTATTTGTGCTGCTTTGCCCAGGGAAGTCCTGTGGCTTTTTTATGTTTGCAGTTATTTTGCAGGGTTTTTTGTGTGTGAAATCTTACATGGATGCTATTTTTCAGAATGTTATTCCCTCCTGTTCAGTAGGTTATCTTCAGGAGCTATCTTGTAGTAGCCCAAATCACGATTCTATTGCTCCTTAGGTTCAGATATTCTAGGAAAAAATAAATAATGTAAGGGGCATTATATGGATGTAACTGTGTTGTGAATTGAGCAGACAGGAGCTTTTGATGCCGTGCATACAAATCCTCTAACCTTTGGAAGCTGTTCTGTGTGGTTCTGCCTATAGGGTCATTTTGTAGGATCCCAAAGGCATTAACCAACCAAGTGACCTGTGCAAGCAGAACTCACCTGCTTTGAGGATACCTGCACAGAAGAGTCTTGTGAGAACACAAGCTACAGCTGGGGGTTTTCCAAAGGAACTGTTGTATGTGGAGTGCCCCTATGCCCAAGAGCAGGGATTTAACAAAGTGCACTCCTGTCTCCACACAGTGACACGGGAATGCCACTTTCTCCAGCCTCTCTGAAAAAAAATAGGTCTGGCAAGGCTAAACACTTCTTCTGGTTTAGATTTTCCATTTTAAAATAAAGAGTAAGTGGAAGGAGGGGACTGTGGAATTAATTGCTGACTATTGGTTTCCTACATCCCAGATGTCCTCTTTCCTAATGTGTTCATTGTTGGAGAACAAGGAAGTTTTAGTAGTAGTTTTTCCAGACAGTGACTATTTCTGAGTAGATTCTATTATGTTAGAAAACATTTGCAGAGATTCTGGCTTTGGGACTGGATGATTATCATTGTTATTATTATTGTATGGATAATGTGGGTTAATTGAGCCACAGTGGAGCTAATAGCAGTGAGAAGCCAGGATATCTGGAACATGCACAATAGCCTACTTAGCATTTGCAATTGTATGCAGAATGATTCCTCCAGTAGAAAAGGTGAACTAAAAAGTCTGTAACTTCTGCCAGACTCTGAAAGAGTCAACCATTTACCTCCTTTTTTTTTTTTTTTTTCTTTGTTGGGGGGGGGTTTGCCTTCAGATTTAGAAGAAACGTGCTTTTAAAAAAAGGCAGCTTTGAGATAATTGGTATTTTAAATGGGAATCTTTCAAATTGTGAGTTGGTAATCTATTTCAGCCAGAATTTGAGCTGGTTAGATATGACAATAATCTTATATTGATTACTGTTTAATAGCAGCACCCGCAGAACAATATCTTCAGGAGAAGTTGCCAGATGAAGTGGTTCTAAAGATCTTTTCCTACCTGCTGGAGCAGGATCTCTGTAGAGCAGCTTGTGTGTGTAAACGCTTCAGTGAGCTGGCTAATGATCCAATTTTGTGGTAAGTGAAAAGCTATTCCTCATTATCGTGAGAAATGTTAGTTGTGCTGCACGAGATGCCACTACAATAGAAAAACTGAGATGTTGGTTACAATTGCTTGAATTAAAACCAATTGTATTTTAATATGTCTGGTTTGGTTAAGCATTATTTGTTACTTATAAATATCTGGTTATATGTATTAAACAGTAAAACTTTTTTCTGGTAGTGTAGATATGAGCTAAACAATGCCTGTTTTAAAAAAATCAGATATTCCTTCAGTAACCATTCCTTCTTCCCTCTTTAACCTTTTGCAGGCTGCTGTGGGGATTGTGTTACTTGATGCAAAAGAAACAAAACATTTCCTAATGTTGCTGCACGCATTGTGTAGTGCCAGTTAGATGGGCTTTTGTTTGGTTTGATTTCTGGTTGTTTTGCTTAATAGTTGGAAACTTGGGCTGTTTCCCCCATATGAATCCGCCCTACTCCTGGGTTATCGAGAGTTTGGATAAGTGGGATCTAATCTTCTTATTTTTTCCTTTGTAAGAAAATTACATGTTTCTTCGGCTTCCTTTTAAAAAATTAAGTCTAAAAGAATAAAACAGCATCACAGAAATGTCCCTTTTTTTCCTGTCTAAAGACAGCTTTGGGGATGCCTTGTCAGATGAATTACAACTTCTGAGGTTCAGC